AACATGCAGGGTTGTTCAGTTACAGATATCACTACTGATGATACAAACACATTATTTTATATTTAGCAGCCTTGCTTGCACATATTTATTTCAAATCTAGAAACCTCAGTCATGGAGCAAGACTCAGTGTCTCGCCTATGTACTCTGCAAACTGAGAAGAAAGCAATTATTCTGGTTCCCCAAAAGGTTGCAAGCTTACTCTCTCTTCCCTGGCTATATCTTATTGTCGGAGTGGGAATTTGGAGTAGTAATGCTCACAGTTTAGGGTGGTACAATAAGAGATTGGTTTCAGAAGTTCATACAAAACAGCCTGTGTCTCTATGCTGATCTAAATCTTCCTTTAAAGCTGGTGGAAATCTTGTATGAACAAATTCTGTCAGAAGTTTTCCAGCATTTCTGATTATAATTCAAGTACTACAGGAGTAGGTTTTTTTGTTTGTTTTGTTGGGTATTCCTGCACTTCTGAACGTAGTGCCTTTGGTCAGAATTGAAAATGAAACACAGACAATAAAACCCTGTCACTTATTTGATCTGAAATGACAGGTACATTCCTCCTTACATGATTTATATTTTGTCATATTTTTCCCCAAACAGATAATTTATAGGATTTGTTTACACTGGAATTGGCACTTGCCAAACAATAATGATCCAGTTATCTGAATTCATAGAGGTATAGACAAACCTGGGTAATATACAGAAATTGAGGGTAAGCAAGATGTACTTCTCAGTACTTGCAGGAATTAATTCTTAAAATTTTGCCTGGGGTTTGCTGTTTTCTTACTATTTTAACTGGGCTTCCTCGGTTAACTAATTCTACGTGATGGTTCTGTCTGTGCACCTCTAAGTCCTTCTCCACCCAATAACTTTTGAACTTCTTGGCTGCTAACAGGCAAGGAGCTCTGAGAGCCAGGGTGTTTACACAGGCTTTGTGGGCTTTGGGAGCTGTCATGAAGGCAGTTGTAAGTCCAACCACAGCTATTCTGAAAGGGAACAACAAGGCAGCTCGTGTGGACTGCCTGGCAAGCACGTGCTTAGCACTGAGCTTGCCAGCGTGAGTGATGCCAGTGGCCCAGCTAGACTAGCACAAGGTACCAGAAGAGCTGGATCATCATCCAAGTGCAGTGGATTTGCAGGATGTAGCTTCTTTAGTTCCCCTGGTTGTAGAACATCTTGTGTTCTTTGCTTCACATGCCTTCACTGTATTTTCACACTTCCAATTGGACTTTTCCCTGACAATTTTCATTTTGGATGTTTTATTTCAAAACAGAGTTTCTTTTTCCTTATTTGTCATATTATTTTAAGATACAGACACTAGAGTTGTAACTGAGGTTGTATTAACAAAATATTAATAAAGAAATAGTAGGAATCAGGCCCTCCATCAGGTAGTTATATAGAAAATTTAGAAAGCCAAAGGAGGAATAAAATGAGAAAGCTTAGTGGAACTTTCCTAGAGCCCATGGTGAGCATAGGCTTTCAAATTCTGTCCATTTTCCTTTCCCTTGGAGTACACTGTCTTTACTGATTTCCTAATTTAACCTTCTTTATCTGTGAAATAAGCCATCTTTGCTTTGCTTGTTTCATAATGCCTTCTAAGGAAGTTTTACTGTGGAAGAATGCTTTTCTGCTGCAATGCTAACTTATCCTCCACCTTGATAAGGCAGTCCAACAAAAAGTTACAAGAAACCAACGTTCATATAGTAAATTTTGAAAATACAGTGATGAAACAATTATTTAAAACAGAGAAGAGGAATTCTTCTGTAAGCAGAATTAAACTGTTAAAGCAAAGGTATTGTGGACAATGGGGACATTACAAAAAATTTTACTCCACTTCAAAGGAAATGCAATAAACAAGATCTGGCTCAAGGTGCCAAATTACGTTTTCATTGTTAAATTATCTATTGCCCCAAATGTTCCAAACAATTATATCAACAATTAAAACTTTACATAACATGGCATTTATTTCTCAGTGCTTTAATCCATATTTCACTAGGAATATACACATAACCCTTTGAAATGCACAGAACAATTAAATGACATTGTGTCTCTCTTTCAGCAACCAAGTTCTAGTGAAGTCTGACCCCTGAACTGTACTCTAGCAACCACTTTAGCCAACAAGCTCCTGTGACACTGCTGGACAAAATGTCAATCACTGTAAAATTAACAGTTGAGCTGAGAGTGTCAAATCTTTGTAGCTGTGTCGCTGCAATGTTTAGGAAATGGCAATCTTGGGAAGAAATATTCAAGAAGGGACAGAAACTGTCCACTTTGTGCACCTTTGTATGGTCCTTTGTTATCTGGGTCACAGTTTGCAGTGAAAAACAAAATATAGCTTTATTTTAAAAGTGAAAAAAATTGTTAAGTGGGGAAACTCAGGGTGAACACTCCAGTTCCTTTGTTTAAGAAGGCATTTTTCTGTTTTTAATTGTAATTTGCATGTCTGCTTTGTAATACTTGAAAAGAATCAAAGGCACATCGAATGTTATTTTAACATCCCTTCCACTACCCCCCTCCCCCCAGTTTCTCCAGTTGTGAGAAAGATTTTTTGAAAAATATGCCCACCCTGCTAATCCTGGGGAAGCCTTCTGTTAAAGAAGCTATTTTGGGCAGATGAAGTTGGGCCTAAGCAAGCAAAATAATAAAATAGTACAGCAATTACAAAGTTAAATATCAAATTTTATTCAGCCCTCAGAATGATACAAATATTTATTCGCTGTATATAAATGGCAGTACACATTGGACAAGTTGTGAGTTGTTATGAACTATGAATTATTTGAGATCTGATTTTTAAACATATATGAACACTTCTGCTTGGTGGCACCATCTGTAACTGTGACTGTACTAAGCTTCAGAGATGTTTTAACCTCAGAGAAGTTCTTTAACAGCTGAAATAACCCAAGAGACTCTGTTGCTAATCTTGTTGGTAACCTGTTGTATAGTGATAACAGGTTGCAGCTGTGATTTTGGGTTAAGTATGTTGTGTAGGGATAAAATTATTTCATCATCGTGACACACAGGTGCCAGTGGAGTCGGCAACGTGAGTGGGCAGTAGGAGGCTGGGGATAGGGGGCAAGATAGGTGGCAAAATAGATTTATATCTGCGTGCAAGCTCACTGGCTTTCTGGATAATACAGGCATAATGTCACTAATTTGCAAGAGTATGAAATGTCTCCAGGGAAGGAGTATCACAGGACTAATGCCTTGTTCCACTTTTTTCTGTTCCTGTTACTGATAGCAGGCAAAAGAACATGGAATTTGAGCGCTACCATTATAAAGACAGAAGGCTAATGTTACTTCTTAAGAGCAGAGGCAGCACGGTACAATTAGCATTTGGAGAGTGAAGTCATTGCTAAGAGGGCAGAGATGCATACAGATTTTAGAGGGTGACATCAAGTATCATCTGACTTTTGAAACTCTTTCAGAAAGTCAGAAGCTGAAGATCTGGGCAAGGGAGAGTGCTCTTATGGCGAACCTTGTCAATCCTGTAGAGATAATAGTTTCATATTAGCTGTGACAGTGACCTTCTTGACTTCACGTGATTTCTTTCATTGTAAGACCTGATTTAAATATGGCCTTGTGACCTGTTATTTGAGGTCTTTGCATAACATATATCCAGGTTGCAAACCTTTGCAGTCTTGGACCACAAACCTCCTACTGATGCCAATAGGAGTTTGAAGTCCTGGGTCAGACTCTAGCTCGTTATAGAACATGGAGGACATAGATAAAAGCAGTTTGACACATCACGTGTAGTAATGAGACATCTGTCTTGTCACCTAAGACTATAGTTTACCAGGTAAACAAATAAGATATTCACCAGAGCTGTGTGTATGTCCCAGAACAGTTGAATGAAAACGAATGGTGCAGAGATCCCATCCTTGCCTGAGTATGAGGACCTTTTTGTCCTTCCCTCTTTTGTTTCTTCCTTTATTTAATTGATTTCTCCTTTGAAGTGAGATTTAAATAGATAAAGCAATGGCCAGGTAGATACTCTATTTTGCTGCCCTCTCATTTTCAGAAATTAAACTATACAGCTAACAGACTGACCAACTAGCATCGCCATTGTACTTGTGAAAAATCTAACTGGCTGTTGTAGAAACAGCCTTATAAATTTGATCAAGCAGATAAATGAAGGAGGACCATCAAATTACATTTTGTTTGATTCAGTTGTCTATAAAGAAAACAACTTCTTATAATTCAAGTAAGAAATTCTTATGTGAATTTCTTAATCAGGCTTCACTAACTTTATCCTTTCCACCTCTTTTGTTTCTTTTCCTTCCTTCTCCATGCTTAAGGTGTACCACTGAGTTTGCTTCCCTCCTCCATCCCTCCACTTTTCTGTTCTTTCTTCCTACCTTCATTGTTCATATTGCCTTTTACCTTGTTTTCTTCACTCATTTTCCCCCTCAGAGATTCTCATTCTTTGGAATATTTATTCCACATCATGAACAAGAAATTAAGTGAAACACGATCACTGAAGTCAGAGTATATTGCACTGCAGAAACTAGGCAGGTAGTAAAATCAATCATCTTTTTCTTTTACTTCCTGTTCTTTTCCTATTTCCTTTACCTTCTTCCTATTGTAGTCTACACTTTCTTTTCTTTCTGTCTCCCATCATTACCACAGTTGTATTTCCCCATCTGCAAAGAGAACCAGGCAGCATAAGCAGGCTCCTTTGTTGGACGGAAGATAAAGGAGGAGATAAAATCTTTGCTACAAATACTTTCAAAATGGCTTGAAAGCTTTAGATTTGATTGGCTTGGCTTGTGCTACAAGACAATATAGCTCGACAGCTCTGACAGCTCTCATGAACATAGTCAGCCAGTCTGTCTCCTACGTTCTGTTCTTTATTATTTGCCATCCATAAACCTTCTGTTATTTAAAATGAAAGTTTGACTGAGATATCTTAAATCCATTCAAACAGAGCTAGCAGAGAATATAAATAATGTATAAAATGTGAAAATAACAATGATTTCCCCTTCTCTTTCTTGCCTGTCATCTTGCAGTGGAGAAAGTGGTTCTGGAAAGACTGAAGCCTGCAAACAGATAGTGAAGCACCTCACTTGCAGAGCCACCTCCAGCAGAAATACCTTTGATACAAAGATAAAACATGTAAGTAACATTCTGATCACTAAGTAGAACAAAGGAAAAATCTGGCCTCTTGGATAGGCAAAGACATTTGAACTGTAAGGAAAAAGGTATCTGCTGTGCAGAAGTTCATAAAGGGTTTATTTTCACCATTGAAGTCAAAGGAGGTTTCTTTCCCTGAATTGACCTGAATGGGAACAGGATTAATCTCACATTGACGTGATGAGAGGAAACCAAAAAGTGGAAGCCAGTTTTGTTTCTATATGTTGTGGTGACTTTGGAAAGCAGTGTTTCAGTGAATAGAAAACATTTGTGTGGTCAGGTACTACCTCCTAAATGTGTACTAATTGCCTTCAGTAAGTAAATAAATTTATCTGTATGGTTGTGGTGGTGCTTCTCTGGACAGTATAGGAAGTGCTGAGGAATCTGAAGTATTGGTATGTAAGACAGAAACTGGAAAGCTACAGGAAAAGTGCAAGGAATGGACAAAGTTACATGGCCCAGTATTTGTATACTAAATATATTTATGAAATAGGCAAGAATTCTGAATATTTGCTCAGTCATACTTAATTCCCACAGCAGAACCAAATTCTGCCCAACACATAACATGAAATCATGGGAACCTGCTTCACATATCAGATGAATTTGTCTCCTTTCTAGTACATTGTAAATGTAAAGTTTTTGTCTGACTGAACATAGCAACTCATGTTTCATTGTTACAGCTGTAACACTAAGTATAAAGGTTCATGCTGACATTTTAAATTATGTTGAACCCTAGATTGCCAACTCAAATTCTTTCAAAAAATTGCCTTTCCTGATGAAACTTCTCATCTGAAATCCCAGCTCGAAGACAGATTTATATGGAATGTTTTAGCACAGTCTTCATTGTGGTAACTCAGTTCTGAGTGTCATACTTTAAAAAAGTATGTTTAGACTCTCTCACCCACTCTGGTGACCTTCCTCTACAGCACTTACAGTCAATCCAAGACACTTTTTTTTTTAGCTTTCACTTGCCACATGCATGATATCCAACAGAAGTCTAGAAGCATTCATTGTGGGTTTTTTTAATAGCATCACGTGCATCATTCAAAACACACTGCTGTCTTCCTGAATTATGCATGATTCAGTCCAGAAAGATGCTAAAATAGTGTCAGAAGTACAGCTGACACTAACAGACAACCTACAAATCAGGATTATTGGGATGTGGGAAAGGCTACAGATACACTGATTCATATTTTGTACATTCCAGCTGATAAGGTAATAAAAGTCCTATGGATTTTAGGTAGATTTTAGAAAACGCTGTTACATGTGTGTTTTTTGAAGACATTAAAACAGCCTGATGACACTGAAAACACTACAACTGAATAAGCTGTAGCTTTACTTTACTTCGTGTAGTCATACAATTGCCATGTTAAAGTGTTTTTCACAGTGTTATCTGATTCACTGATGATGTTCCTAAACTGACACATTTAATCTAGGTTTCATGTGACAATGTTAAGAATACCCTTGTTATTTTTTCACTTTTTTCATTTAAATTTAATGTCTAGTGTTGCAATAATACCATTATATAGGGACAGTACACTTTTACTTTATTTTTAACCCAGGAGCCCAACAAGTGATATCTATTTCTACTGTGTATTTTTTTGTTTACTACCTGCATAGGTTTACTTACAGTTTTGAACTGATCAGGCCATAGATGTTACTCAAGTAGAACTGCAAAATTCAGGTCAGATCCTCCAAGTCCTTTTCTTTCCTAAAGTTCAGTTTAAGTAATGAGTAGAAGAACTAAGTAAATAAGTAACTTCGTGAATCAGCAACTGAAAATTGTATGTTTTGGATACAAATATGGCAGGAGAAGGGAACAGGGGGGGGGGGGAGG